AGCCTTTCACCCTTTCTTCCCACCATTACAGTGTACATAGTTCAGAGGTTTCTTTTTAGTTATGTATTTAAACCGTGTATTTTGGAGAAAGTGCAACCAGGGTACTCCTTGAGGGCTAGGATGGTGAAGCTTTATGTCATATACTTTGGGCATGCTGTTAGTAGAGACAAGTCCTTAGAAGGGAAGGACTTGTAAAGGTGGAGAAAAACTCAACAAGATGTACTGACACAGTTACTGTAACAATGGGCTCAAGTATATTAGAGATGATAAAGATGGCATATAATAGGGCAGGATTTATGTCCATTTTTCTTGGGGTCACTATGAGTTGCAGAACAAACAACATCAACACTGGCATACAGCTTACTCTAAAGTTTTCTTAAATACCTGAATAAGTTATATCCACTAATTTTCCCCTTTGTCCATCTACATATGGCTACTTTAGACCTTATTTTATCCTATTTATTTAAGATCTGTGATATATTGAAGGGACTTACACAAAACATTATTAGCCTGTTATAAACTCCTTAACTGGTTCTCTTACTGCCTTAGAACTCACTCAACTCATTGCCATCAAGCTGGAACCACCTCACAGCTGACCCTTCAGTGGGTTTTTCTGAGGCTGTAAATCGAACATAGGGTTGCTATACATCACAGGTGACTCAATGGCACATAATAATAACAAACATACTATGACAAGTTTGGAAGCAGGAGAAACATCCACTTCCTAAACAACATGCCTCCAGAAACTCTGTGAACTTTGATAAATTTCGATAGTTGTAGAGGAGCTTCCGGCCTTTTGTTCATAGGGTCGCTATGGGTCATGCCTGATTCGAAGGCAATCAATATCAACAATAAATCAAACTGGAGGAGGTTGCCCCTATTTCTCCCTTGGAACTGCTCCTGGGTTTAAACCATCAGAGAGGCGCCATTTTGGGGTTGGTAGTAAATCCCTATGGAATCTGCCACTAGAGCTCCCTCCTGCCCTAGAAGAATAAACTTTAAAGTATTTTTTAAAATGGCTTTTTATGTAGTAAATGCTCGAATATATTTAAGAATGAATGAACAACGGATTATTCCTTAAACAGAAGTAAGTTATCTTCTTCTAACAGGCTCCATCTGCTTATATATTGGGTTTCTACATTTTTTTTTCAGCCCTGAAACTATTTCCAATCTTAGAAATTATTCCTGCAACAGAAATTGTTCTTCTGAAGCCCCTGTATAACTGCACTACTAGAATTTTTTAATATTTCTTTTGAATCAACTCAATTCACTGCCATCAACTTGGGACTGGCTCACAGCTGATCCTCAGCAGTTGTCCAGGCTATAAATTGCATGCAAGGAAACTGCCCATCTTTCTCCTGTGGAGCAGCTGGTGGATTTGAACTGGCTGTCTTTGGATTGGCAGCACAAGCAGGTTTTATTTCATCTGGACTTATGAGAGCTATACCACATGAGTTAAGGGTTTTGAGAATGAAAAAGGAGATCTTTGTAATCACTATTCATAAAATCTATTATTCCATTAACATCATTTTACTAGAAATCCTATCGATTTTACTGAGCTCTTAAAAGCCTCTCTTCCCCAGCCAAATAGAAAATGCAGGCTCTCTCCAATTAATCTAAATCCCTGTACACATGCAGCTTTAAATGGCATAATCATGATAATTTTCTGAACCTGTATTAATACATGACATTAGCAGGAGCCATTATTATGCATCTCTTTTTCTTGACAGAATCTTATTCTCAATAAATTAAAATACTTTTCTTTTATCTGCCACCTACAGGAAAATCTCCACGCTGGATATAGCCGCTCCATAAACACATACAGAAATATTGTAGACATTGATAAAGTATGCCACCCAATGGATGCACTGTCATATTGCATTCATAAAAGACACATGTAAGCTAGCATCTATCATGCAATTTAGACGGCTAAAAACAACTAGTGGGTTACAAAAGAACACTGAAAAACTTAAAATTATAAATGGTCACTGGAGGGTGAGTATGGCTTTCAAGACCAAGGACATCTGATATGGCAGCGACATTGTTGCTACTCCAGAAGACACACAAGCTAGAGCACTATCAATGTAGGCCAAAATCACATAACTCTTATTCTACATCTCTCTTAATTTAAAATAGGAATTGGAAAATAAGAATAGGCACAGGATATGTTTAGATTCAAGCACCTGAGGCTAAGCCTGGACTGTATTTCTTACTTTCTGGATACATAGTTCAATCTTAGAAATTACTCCTTCACTAGTGGGCCACACGAACCTCTCAAGGTCAATGTCCCTCAGACCAGAAGAGTGAGGTAGTGCCTTGACTACCACCACTAACCTCTCTAAACGAATCACAGTAAAAACTCCTAGATAGAGTAGGTGAAAAAAAAAATGTAGAGCAAAACTCTGAAACATAAAAAGGGCTAAGCTTATTGATCCAATAGAGACTGACAGAATCTGCCAGACTAATGACCTTAGTCACCCTATGAGCCTGAAACAAAACTCACTCCCTTAACTCAACTTTCAGTGAAGCAATAGATAGACCTATAAGGTGAACAATTATACTAAGGGGGCACTCACTCCTTCCTAGAATAAACAACCATGAAAGATCAGAGGGGAAGCATCTGCCCAAGGATAGAGCTTAGAAGGCAGGAAGGGGTAAGAGGCTACAAAGATAAATGGACACAAGAATCATAGGGAAGAAGTGGGAAGTGGGAAGAATATGGTTACAATGAAATGTTGTAAATACTGCCATTAAAAAATGTGTACGATTATCAACAAGACCAGGAGTTGGTTCTTTAAAAAGGTCAATAAAAATGATAAACAATTAGCAAAGCTAACAAAGGAAAAGAAAGAAAAGACACAGATAATCTAAGTAAGAGATGAATCAGGTAACATCACAACAGACCCAACTAAAATAAAAAAGCTAACATTAGAATACTATGAAAAACTATACTCAAACAAAAATCAAAACCTAGAGGAAATGGACAAATACTTAGAAACCCACAACCTCCCTAAACTGACACAGACTGAAATTGAACACTTGAACAGACCCATTACAAAAGAAGAACTTGAACAAGTAAGAAAACAACTTTCAACAACAAAAATAAAAGCCCTGGACCAGATGGTTTTACAAGTGAATTGTACCAAACATTCAGAGAAGAACTGTTGCTGCCAATTCTGCATAAAGTATTTCAGAAAATAAAAAAGATGGAATTCTCCCAGACTCAATTTGAAGCAAACATATCCCTGATGCCAAAGTCAGGTAGAAACACCGCCAAAATAGAAAACTGAAAGCCAATACATCACATGAACATAGAAGCAAAAATCCTGGCCAATAGAATCCAACAATACATAAAAAATAATTCATCATGACCAAGTGGGATTCCTAATAGGTATGGAAGGATGGCTCAACATAAGAAAAACAAATAATGTAACTCATCACATCAACAAAGCAAAGAACAAGAACCACATGATCCTAGCAATTGAGGCAGAAAAGGCCTTTGACAAAATCTAACAGCTTTTCCTGATTAAAACACCCAGCAAAATAGAAAAAGAGGGCAATTTCCCCAACATAGTCAAAAGTATATACGCAAACCCAAGAGTCAACATCGTTCTCAATGGAGATTAAAGACATTCCCTTTGAGAACAGGAACTAGGCAAGGATGCCCACTATCACCTCTCCTAGTCAATAGTGTATAGGAAGTATTGTTGTTATGTGCTATTGAGTTGCCTGTGACTCATAGTGACACTATGTACAATGTCTGAACAATGCTCTGAACCCTGTCTTATCCTGAGCCAATTTTGTTGTTTCTGACACATCTACACCCATTACCCAGTCAATCCATCTCATCCTCTCTCGTGCTGTCCCTCCACCATTCCAAGCATGATAGCCTTCTCCAAGGACTAGTCCCTCCTGGCAACATGCCCAAAGTATGTGAGGTAGAGCTTCAAAATACTTGCCTCCAAGGAGCAGCTTGGTTTCACCCCCTCAGGATATACCTGGATGAACTCGCTTGGCATTTTTTAAGCTGAAGAAATGGAAGAAAAATGTCAAGCTTCAAGATGCAATACCTAAGGATGCTGTGGGCAGAATATTGAATGACTCAGGAAGCAGTAAAAGAAGAGGAAAGAAGTACATGGAGTCACTATACCAAAAAGACACAGAAGAATTTAATGTAACAATGTATGCGTATGATCAAGAAGCAATGGTGAAGAAGGAGGAAGTTCAGGCTGTTCTGAAGGAATTAGCAAAAAATAAGTCCCCAGGAACTGATGGAATACCAACTGATATATTTCAACAGATGCTACCACGGATGTGCTCACCAGGCTATGCCAAGAAATCTGGAGGACAACTACCTGGCCAACTGAATAGAAGAGATCCATATTTATTCCTATTCCAAGAAAAGGGTGATCTAACAGAGTGTGGAAATTATTAAACAATACCACGAATATGGGGATAGGTGTGTCAGAGACAATGAAAGTGGCTTGAAATAGAGCAGGGTTCAGAGCTCTTATCACAAGCTCTAATCACAAGTGACTCGGTGGTACATAACAACAATAATAAAGCCTGAAACTAAGATTGTATTATTAAGCATTCCACAAAACATCAAACTGGAAGGCTTACTGAATAGCATAAGCAAACTTCTAGTAGTTATTTTTATATATGGCCAACACGTATTTAAACCTCTGAGACATCAACATCCATAAACTTACAAGAAAGCACTATATGCCTTTCAAACGGCACATCCATTGTTCTACTTACACAGTTATCTAATACAAAGTAAGAAAATAAAATATATTAGACATAGTAGCTGGAATATTAGGAAAATGAGGGTACATGCAACACATTAATTCTATGAACCCAAAATGTTTATCCTTCTGAATCTCATGCTAGGTTGTAGGAAAAAGATAAATAACATGGTATCAACATAAACATACCAATTTATTCTACTGGAAACTGACCCCGAGGGCTCACTATTGAAAAGACTATGTTTTATGTACCTGGAACTCTCAAAGGCCCTAGAATCCTGGGAGTTAAGCAGAAGAGGAGGAGAAGTTCTGCTGTCATCACTGGATGAAATCAGGTAAGGGCTATCAATTTCATCATACTCAGTGCTGTTGCTATCAGATTCAGATGTATCCTCATCAGTGAGTTCATCAGTGAACACCTAGCAAAGGAGAAAAATGATTCATAGGAATCTCAATTTCAAACCCAATACCAAGAGATGAGTCAATGCTCCGGATGCTAGGAAAGAACACTTGACCAAATAAAAAGAAACTTGTTTCATCTAAAATGCAAAGAGTGTGTGGTAAGGTACACTAGAACACTAAACTCAGTCGAGTTCTTTTTTACCACCTTAGCAGACTGACACCATCAGACCTCCCCCTTCAACTCCTTTGCTGGTTCCTAGAGTTACACTACCCATAACATAAGCGGAGCACTCTCATCAGCATCTCATTCTCTCTGACAATCGATTTTGAGGTCGGGTTTTCAGTCCTCTGGTATATGTGATGAAGGTAAGAGTAAAGGGGGAGGAAAGCATGGCAGTAAGAATGCCTGTCTTGTTCTTAGAGAAATGCATGCAAGAGACTACTAACATATGTTCTTAGTATAAAAAGACATGCACCTGAGTTCTTATGGGAGAGCCAGCTTATAAAGACAGTATGAATGAGTAGAGAGTGAGGACAGGGAAAATCTCCCAATTTCTAGATCAGATGATTAAATCAAGACATTCGAATCTAAAACCAGATTAGTCATATGCCTGGATCTTGGCAGCATATCAAGAAAACTGCTGTTAAATTGTCTCTGTCCTCACCAGTGTGACCCATGCTGAGATGGAAGGTGATTCTGACATGCAACTAGTAGGTCTCTCTGGGAAAGGGAGTCAAGAGAAAAATCATGCAGAAAGGCAAGACTGGGTCAGGAAGATAGATGGGTGCTATGGTGGCTGTCAGGAAAGGAAACGGCCAACCTTATTGCACCCTTCAGCATCCGGAGCTGGGCAATCATGTCCGAGAGACAGTGCTCCTGAAAATGCAAAACAGCAGAATCTTTATAAAAGCCAGCCAGCCTGAAAGCAAGGATGGGGGAGAGGCACAAAGAACCACCCCTTTTCCCCAAGAGGAAGGTAGAAGGAATCACCCCTGCATCCTGGCATTCTAAGAAAGGAGAGCGGGGGGAAAACCAGATGCTTGAAAAGAGGAGCTTGTGTGAGGACAGAATATAATTCTGAATACTCTGTGTCACCGGACGTGACAATCCTGCTACCAGTATCAGGACTGAATCCTCATCTAGGAAATGTGTGATTGACTCTTCTCCTCCCCCGCCCCCTGAAATTTATTTGATGACTGGAGCCTAGGACCTCAGTAACAGCCCATCAGTGTAAAACCAAAAAAAGGTCCTATGAGGAAAAACACCACTGGAAGAAATTGTTCGTTCTTTCTATGCAGCTTTCAAGCTTTCACCTTCTTCTGACCTATGTCCACTGTTGGGAGAAATTTTGAGTGAGTAAAGGAAGAGGATAATCTGTTCCTCACCTGTTGTTTCTCATTTTTCTTAGTTCCCTTCTTCTGAACAGTATGTTTTCTAGAAGATAAAACTGTTATTTAGTTCACTCATGAAACTTCTCAGTTGGAAATGGAGACTCAATTCTAGACTGACAGTCATGGGTTCTTTCAAAATTAGAAACAGTTTAAAGCTCTACTAACTGAAGGTTTCTACCTGGACCATGCTACTAAAGGGATATTAGGAATGCCCCTCTCCAAACAAAAAGAGAATAGTTGAGGGTAGGGGTAGACGAAGGACAGTGGTACCTAGCACGCTGTCATGATGCTGGAAGCTAGGTCACCAGTATTTCACAAACCAGCAGGGTCACCCTTGATAGACAGGTTTCAGCAGAACTTACAGAATAAGAAGATATGGCAATCTATTTCCAAAAATTAGTCAATGCAACCTTTATAGATCAGTGGGGTCATGACAGAACACAGTCCAACTCGCTTCCTTTGGACACATCATCAGGAAGGATCAATCACTGGAGAAGGACATCGTGTTTGGTGAAGCAGAGGGCCAGCGAGGGTGAGGGCTCTTGGTGGGATAGACTGGCACAAAAGCCCCAACGGTGGACTCGAACATGCTGGCAATTTTGAGGATGATGCAGGACCAGAGAGTTTCGTTCTGCTGTGTATAATGTTGTCATGAGTTGGAATCCAGGTGCCGGCAGCTATCTTATCTATATAGATACTAGTTGAAACATTCATAAGACAGTTAAGAAGGAATAAAGAATTGAAAGAGCAAAGATGTGAAGGAAATCATTAAGAACTAAAATCATTACCACCATCGGTCTCCTCAAAACTCTCCCATCCTATTACAAAGTCTCAGGCTCCTCCTACTCTGTGACCCAGAACATCATCTTCAGAGATACTCAACTGTTTTGTAGCTTTGCTGGAGACCTGGACTTCATCAATGAGGTCATATTCCTCTGCAACAGAGCATCTCCTGAAATATAGAGAGAAGTCATCTATTCATGCAAAATATGCCCTTTACTTTTACCTAATATTTTGTTTACAACGTGACAAGACAGTTTAACAATCTTCTAGTATTATGGAATTCACATTTCACCCCACATTATAAAACCTGTTTGCAGGCATATCAGCTCTTTGTGTCAAAGAATAACATGATATAATGTTTAACAGTATTTGACAATTGCAACATTCATATTATTATAGTAGATAGAAAAAATCTTCATCTCTATTTTTACATAGTAAACTTCAGGCATACAAGAGACTTGGAGACTTAAAGGGAATACTGCTAAGACTAGAAATCAGGGGGTTTTTTTTGCCTCTCATTTATTAAGGAATTAATTCACAATATGCAGTCTATAGTGCCTGAAGGTGGCCTAGTGGCAAGAAGCTGCACTGCAATCCCGAAGGCACACAGTTGGAATCCACCAGCTTGCTCTGCGGGAGAATGATGTGCAATCTCCTTCTGTGCAATTAACTGCCTCTGAAAACCCGCTGGAGGGTCAGCTATGGGTCGGTTCTGACTCTATGGTACACAACAACAACACAACATGATAAACGGAAGCTATGTTATTACAAGTGGCTGTTGTTGTTGTTTGTTGTTATGTGCTGTCGAGTCGTTTGCGACTCATAGCGACCCTATGTACAACAGCCCTAAACTCTGCTCTGTCCTGTGCCAATCGCACTGTCTCTGACAC